GACCTGTGAACATGGCTAAAATCAAATACACAAAGAACAACAAGTGTTGGCGAGGATGTGGAGAAAAAGGAACACTTGTACAGTGTTGGTGGGAATGCAAACTGGGGCAGTTATATATACAATGGAATATTTATTACTCGGCCATAGAAGAGAATGAAATCTTGCTATGGCTGAAGCTGGAGGGTATAATGTAATGATAAGAGAAATAAGTCAGTCAGAGACAGATACCATATGATTTCACTTACATGTGCAATATAAGAAACAAAACAAATGGACAAAGGAAAAAAAAGAGTAATAACCAAAAAACTGACTCTTAAGTATAGAGCACAAACTGATGATTACCAGAGGGGGATGGGTGAAATAGGTGAAGGGGATTAAGGGTACACTTATCATGATGAGCACTGAGTAATGTATAAAAGTGTTGAATCACTATATTATACACCTGAAACTAATATAACACATTATGTTAACTCTACTGGAATTAAAAAAAAAACAACAACCAGCTAGTCATACAAATGAGTTAAAGTTATAGAATACCTATAAGGAGTTGAGTTTTCTAAAGAACGTAGCTAGTATTGCTTCATTTTGTTTGGCCTTTGACCTTTATAATTAAGGGGAACAGAGAAAAATGACTGAAGGTCTATATTACAAACAGAAAATAATTTAAATTTCATTTTAGAGTCTAAAAAAATGAAAAGGGCATGATATTTTTTAGATAAGATTAGAAAAAGTGGTTATCTTTTCTTGCCTTAATAGTGTATATAGCTAGTTAAGGAACAGTACTTCTTTTTCCAACTCCTTAGTAGATAAATAAGGATGAGTGGAGAGCTTAAATCCATTTGTCTGAACCTAAAGAAGAAGTTTCTTTTTGTGAGATCATTACACACTGATAGATACAACCAGATCAGAGTGTTAAATTACTCTCCTTAAGCGTCTGCCTTCGGCTCAGGTCATGATCCCAGGGTTCTGGGATCAAGCCCCACATCGGGCTCCCTGCTTGGCGGGAAGCCTGCTTCTTCCTCTCCCACTCCCCCTGTTTGTGTTCCTGCTCTCGCCAACTCTCTCTCTGTCAAATAAATAAATAAAATCTTTAAAAAAAAAATGGTAGCAGTCTAGTGATTGGTATAATTTTTGTGATCTGTCCTGGGACAGTCCATGTGCCCCATTTGTTATTCTAAGTTTCTCTATTTTCTCAAGCTAATGTTCACAGATGAACAAAATTTTATATATCCTCAAATAATTTTGAATTAAGAGAGGTGAAAATTAAGGCAATATTTTTGAATTGGAAAATATAATTGAATTAAGAATTAGAAATATCTATTATAATAGCAAACCAAGAACGTATTATATGATTTTCTTTGATAATCATTTTCTGACCTACATTGTCATAGAAATTAATGGATAGTTGAATATGAATTAGATATCCATTTGGATTTTAGTGTAATCACTTAGACAATTTTTAAGGAAAAATTATTACTCACTGAAAGTACAGTCAGCTAAAATTTGGAACACCTTTTTTTTCCCCCCAAACAAGCTATAAAAATGGTCTTTCATTCCTCAGATGGTGCTCGTTGTATGATGTTGATACTCTAAAAACATGTTTCTGTAGTCATAAAATCCCTCCTCACTTTTAGTTAAGGATATCTTAAAATACTCTGTCTCTGAATCTGCTATACTTTGAGAGTGGTATACTTTTGTTACAGTGTAGTAACAAGTACATTTGCTCTTCTAGTACCGTGTCTTGGCTCTCGGTCCTTCTTAGGTAGGACCAAGTGGGTCTGTCTAGTGGACTTGAAAACATGGGCATGGATCTGGAGATATTTTGATATTAAAGATAAGCACTTGGGAGTCAGTAATATATGGGTGTTAGTTGAATTGATCACACGGATGAAAGAACCAAAGAGGAGCATATATGGTGAGAAGAAATACTGCCTGAAGACTGAACGCTGGAAGAGCCAACATTTAAGGATTGGACAGTGTGCCAAGAACCGTCAAATAAGGCAGAGGAAGAATAGTCAGAGCATACAGATGGTTTGTAGTCTGAAACTGGATGAGATTATTTTAAAAAGTGAACATAGAAAATGTAAAAGGTCCACTCCTGAAGTATGCTGATGTGCACTGGTCAGGTAAATGAAGAAGACCCTGCTGGAAGGACTGAGAAGGAAGGAGCAGTAAAATAGGAGGAAAACTTATTTAGTCATTTAGTTTGGCAAATAGGGTATTAACTGGTGAACTTAACAGGAACAATGCTAGTGAAGTGGTGGGAACACCAGCCAAAAAAATCAGTGGGCCGAATAGTAAATCAGAGATGAGGAAGCGGAAACAGTGATTATATACTTGTAAAATAAGTTTGATGGTGAAAAGCAACAAGATGGTGGGTCACTCAAGGATTATGTAGAATCAAGAAATGACTTTTTGTTTGTTTCTTGAAAAGGGAAGACAAACATCTTCATAGGAGGAAGGGATGTAATCTGTGGAATACATGGAAAATATTTGTGGAAATATGATCTGGGAGAGGCGGGAAAGGACATTTCCAGAGCACCATTGTGCCTTGGTTTGGAATGATGGAAGAACATATTTTTGTACCCAGCATCTAGAATGATGGAGTTATCATCAACTGAGATGGAAAAAGCAGACTTTCACTGGCTTTCCATTCACTCATAATTAAAGCGGAAGTCCTTTCTACAGAGATGGTGGGAAAAGAAGTGAGGATTGATGAAAATATAGATGATTTTGAGAATTAAAGGGAAAGAATTTCATTTGTTCATATAAGAAGACTTTATTGACTACTGACTATGCCCCATGTATGATTCTAGGTTCTGGAGATTTGGACTGAACCAAATAGATACATTTTTAATTTTGTCAGTGGAGTTTATATTCTAGCAAAGAACGGAGGGGTATGTACCTGAAGGCTCTGTTGTGGTTGGAGGAGGCAGCTAGATGACCTGACACAGGAATGAATCGGTTCAGATGACTCCTAAGGGAGAGTAGTGTTGGTTTGTATTAGTTGCTAATTGGCTTTGGAAAGGAGCCTAGCAGAGACTAAGGGCTACATACTTTTTTGGTAGCCAGGAAATAGGATATGGAGAATTTCTTTTTTAGTGCTCCACAGCCTAGAAAAAGGTATAAAGAAAATTAATACTTTGGAGGGACAGGATTGAGAACTGTGAGGGTGAGTTTGGAGGCCTTGCAGATCAACATGTAATTAACATTTGCTTTTATTAAATTATATTTCACAGTTCAAATAATGTAATTCCAAAGAAAGTGTATCAAAAAATACATTAGTATTGTTTGTTTAATTGACATTCCAGAATTAATAGGAGCTACTCATTAATGTAAAATGGTAAAGTAAATGCACTTTGGTTTATTTGATTTTCTACTTCTTGCTAACATGTAGTCTGTGAGAATTATATATTTTACTCCTTAGATACCTTTTTGATTAACAGTCCTTTAAATTTCCTATGGCAGCAGATGGTAATTCATCTTGCAACTTGAGTTCTTTTACTATCTTAGGGTATTCTAGCCTACTATTTTGATTCTACTGAAATATTTTCGCTTGAATTATTTATAAGGACATAACCAGTTATAGCAAGTGGTTCAAGGCATTAGTGTTCATTTCTGGAATACAAGTGCTCTGCAATCAGTCCTATATCAAGTTAGGCTGACGTTATTATAGGTGGGGTTAAAAACATAGCTTTAGCTAATATATTTGTTTTCTTAGAATTTTACAGTTCTAGGTTCTAAATTCTAATGACTTTAATTACTTGACTAAGGCCTTACTCCTTTCCTGTTGAACCTCCCTTAAAATACAGCGTAACGTTTTTGGGGTTTTTTTTGCATGAAATTAAAGTGTCAGTAATTGTTATTTGTCTACAACATGAAAGCAACTCCTACCAAATTACGTGATACTCTGGGAATTTATATGTATAAAATGCATACTATATAAGACTTACATTTTTTAATGGTAACACAAATAGACAATTTTTCTTAGGTTTGGGTAAAGGAGTAAGTGATTGTCTTAAGTACTTCTGACATCAAAAAGACTTTAATTGGGTTGTTTGGCTTAGAACATTGAGGTTGAAAATAATTTTCTTCCCCAAAATCTATTTTCTGGAGTTGGGTCATTCTGCTTAGTAAGCAGTGATCTGTTCTTGCATTGAGGTTCAGTTCTTTCACTATAGTGATAATGTTCTAAAACTAAGGTAGGATTTTGGTGGGGTGGGGGTGGATAATTTCTGCCTGCTTAATACTAAAAATGAGTTAAGCTTTTCATAATGAACATGCTGTTATTCTAGGGCATAGGATTTAATTAATTTTCAATTAGTATTCTCATTTTCCATATACTTGTTTGTGTTCTTTGTGTGCATTCTTTATATAACTAGCTGGTATGAGGGCTGTAACCAAGAGTTAGAGCATTGATAATTGGTCTACGTGGAGAAAGAATCAGTGGTCTTGGTCTTTTACATCCAATTTGACAAATACTGAGAACATACACCATAGAAGGCACTGTGCCAGATACTGTGGAAGACTGTTATAATTTATTGTAATCAGTTAGGCTAACCACAGAAGCAAACAGCAGAATGGTGTCCAGGAAGTTCTGGTTTCATGAATTTCAGGCAACATTAATGCCAGTTGATTTAAGAAATCAACCAAAATAAGTTTTATTTTACTTTAACATGTTGTCAAGAGTCTCATCGTCCTTTCCAGGAAACTGGAACCTTTGATTAACAGGAAGTATAGGCTGCAAACTGTTAACTGGAATTCAGTGACTCCCTTTCCTGTCATTTAGTAAATTTTAGGAACTATTTGCATATCACCTTTAGTAATTGGCTTAAGGAGAATGACATTTGTAAAAACGGTAAAAAATACTCATTAATTTTTTATCTCTACTTTTATAACATAGAGTGAGTTTCAGTTCTAATTAAGATGGAACCTTCCGGATACGCAACACTAATACTAACATAAAAAGTAAATTACATGATTTTCTTGTAATTTTGTAGCGCTTTGAACTCCAAGATTCAGAAAGCTCTGTGCTTCCTAAAGAGGTGGTGAGAGTGGAGAGGCTTGCGGAGAGCACTGCCCCACAAGCTAACGTGACTATCCGGATAGCAGAAAAAGAGGTGACCATTCAGGTAACGGATCAAGCTTTATGCTTTCTGAGATATGCTTTGTCCTGCCCATTTTTATGACCTAAATTGGGTTTATGATCTCCTTATAAATCTCTGGTTCTGTAGGGTCCCATCTATATATCTGTATCTGTATCTGTATTTATCTTTGTCTCCACGGTAATGTATGTTTGTAAATTAGAAAAGTTCAGGAGAAACATGGGGATAGCCTTTCATCAAAAACCAAAATTGACCTCTGGGAAAATCAAGTACTGAATAAAGCATTGTGTATTCCGAGTCCTTGGTAAGAAATAGTGTTTTCAAACATATTTTAACAGCTAAGGAACACTCTTTTCAAATAAAATCATTCTTAGCTAGATGCACTATTTAAAAGAGGAGCTGTTGTAGTTGCACAGTGTTTAGAAGAAGGGAAGGGGGTGCCTGGGTGGCTCAGTCGTTAAGCGTCTGCCTTTGGCTCAGGTCATGATCCCAGGGTCCTGGGATCAAGCCCCGCATCGGGTTCCCTGCTTGGCGGGAAACCTGCTTCTCCCTCTCCCACTCCCTCTGCTTGTGTTCCCTCCCTCGCTGTGTCTCTCTCTGTCAAATAAATAAAATCTTGAAAAAAAAAAAAGAAAAAGAAGAAGGGAAGGATATGTGGTCACAGAGCTCCATCTGCTCGCTCTGCCTCCCTTTCTTGTAACCCTTTGAGGGCCCTGAGAGCCCCAAGAGGTGATGAGAAACTGTCCCTAGCAAACACAGCTTGAAAAGCAGAGACTTAAATGAATTGTAAGTGAATGTGGGAAAGAAAAACGGTTGCCTTCTTATGTGCCAGAGCACACTTTAATTAGAAGCTTTTTATGTGCTTTAATGTGGTATTATTAATACTTATTAATGTTGCTGTATTATTCATTCATTATGTCTACTATAAGCCAGGCTCTGTATTAAGAATTATTAGTGCCCACTCTGTATTAGTCACTGTATTTGTCTCTTTGCATATATTATGCCACTAAATCCCCCAATAACCCTGGAGGCAAGTTTTATTAGGTCCATTTTATAGATTCGAAAGTTGAGATGTAAAGAGGGTAATCGATTCACCCATGGTCACCAGCTAAGAAATGTCACAGATGAGACTTCTAGACAGGGTCACTTTTCATTACATTCTTCTGTCTCCTTCAGATGAATAACCTCACTAGGCTGATGGTCTAAATAGAGACAGATGAGTAAGGACTGCATTGGAAGGCTGTGGGGATATAGAGTGACCTAAGTCTTATAGGATGACACAGGAGTTTTCTAGTGGCTCAGGAATGGAAAGGTAATAGGATACTTTAGGCAGTTTAAACAGTATGTCCAGAGGCATGAGGTGTGAACAAGCTTTCCTTATTTGCTTCCCTTTGGTAATGGCTTTCTGACCTTATTGCCTCCAGTCCCTTCCAGTCAGCCTTCTATGTTACCACGAGGATGATCTTTCCTAAACTCAAATCTGATCTTGTCATTTCCAAACTTATAATTCTGCAGGGTTCATGTTGTGTACAGTATGATTAAGTACTGAGTCCTCAGCAGAATGTAGAAATCTTCTCCTAGTAGGGTCCCCAGGAGACTAATAAGGAGGAGATAGGAAATAAAAGAAGTAGGTGTGAGGGATGGGAAGAAAGATTTTAAGAACAGATGCTTCTGAGTGGTAAACTAAGAGCGGAAAAGGATTTGTAGACATGTGGATTTTAGAAATCAAGAGGTCATTGCTGACTTTGGAGAGTCCTAGTAGACTGACTCTAAATTCTGTACTTAGCACTGGAATTTGGATAAAAACCTTCATTCTCAAGTAGTGACATTGTTATTTTAAGTTAAAAATAGCCTGAAAATGACATGATTCTTATGAAAATGTCTGACAGCACCGAGCTTTCATTTTAGAGGGATGATTGATTTGGAGGGCTGATGGTAATGATCAGATCTGTGAATGAGAAAATAGTTGTTGCTCTATTGAAATATCAAAAACAGGATAGAATTGAATTGAGCAAGGAATTATTAGGGGCTTCTAAATGGCAGTTATGTGCTTCCTTTTACTGATGTTTTGAGAAAAACATATGCATATTATATTTACTTCTCTTTAATTATAGGTGCCATCTGGGACCAGGCCAATAAATCAACCTTGTGCATCAGACCATTTTATACAAACTTTAAGCCATAAACAACTACTGGCTGAGATGATGCAGTCTCACATGGTTAAGGACATATGTTTAATTGGAGGAAAAGTAAGAATTGCAGTTTCACTGCAGATTTCTGTTTCCTGGCTTTTGGTTATTTCGACTTCTCCCTTGAATGATTGTGTTTCCATTTGTAGGGTTGTGGAAAAACAGTCATTGTTAAGAACTTTGCAGATAACTTAGGATACAACATAGAACCCATCATGCTCTATCAGGTATGACATTCGGTTTTAGTACTCGGACTATAAGCATATGTATTTGTACCATCAGTAGAATTTATGAATATTCTTCCTTGAGTTATGACCTGTTAATTTTGATGTACGTAAATAACAACAATCAAATTGGAGTACAGTGATAATTATTTGGAACTTTTGAAAGTGCATTCTAGGATACCTCATGTGCTCAACATATTGGGGTCTGCTTTTCAAGAGAGATCCAATTTACCTGCATGTGCACACATACACAGAACACATTTAGTAGTAATTTGGAAATCTAAACCAAATGGGTTTCAGCAGCAGTGGGAGATAATTAGGTATTCATTGAATAGACTATTTTTTTATTGTGGAAAAATATACGTAAAATTTACCATTTTAATCATTTTTAAATATACAGTTCCCTGGAATTAGGTGTTGTGTAACCATCACCACTGTCTATTTTCAGAATTTTTTTTTTCTTTCCTGTATCTCCCTCTCCCTTTCACCCATTTTGTCCACCCCCCCCCATCCCCTCTCCTCTGGCAACCACCAGTTTGTTATTTGTATTTACAGGTCTGTTTCTGCTTTTTGTTTGTTTATTCATTTTGTTTTTTAGATTCCACATGTAAGTGAAATCATATGGTATTTGTCTTTCTCTGTCTGACTTATTTCCAGAAATTTTTTATTCCGAGGAGAAACTCTATATTCATTAAACAATAACTTCCCATCCCCCCCAACCCCAGACTCTGGTAACCTCTATATTACTTTCAGTCCCTATGAATTTGCCTATTCTAGGTACCTCTTTTAAATAGAATCATACACTTTTTTTGTCATTTTGTCTCTATTTTACTTAGTATGTTTTCAAGGTTCATTCATGTTATAGCATAAATCAGAATTTCATTTCTTTTTATGGCTTAATAATATTCTGTTGTATGGATATACTACTTTTTGTTTATTCAAATGTTGATGAATGCTCTGGTTGTTTCCCCCTTTTGATTATTGTGAATAATGCTACTATAAACATTGGTGTGTAAGTACCTATTTGAGTCCCTACTTTTAGTTCTTTTAGGTATATACCTAGAAGTGACATTGCTTGAACCATATTGTAATTCTATGTTCAACTTTTTGAGGTGCTATTAAACTGTTTTCCATAGCAGCAGCACCTAATTTTACATTCCCACCAGCAGTGTGTGAAGTTATAACTCCTTGTAGTTTTGATTTGCATTTCCCTAATGACTAATGAGATTAGGCATCTTTTTATGTGCTTATTGGCCATTTGTATGTCTTATTTGGAGAAATGCCTGTTCAAGTTCCTTGCCTGGGTTTCAATTGGGTTGTCTTTTTGTTGCTGAGTTGGTAGGAGTTCTTTATATATTCTGGATAATAACCCATTTTCAGTCATGATTTGCAAATATTTTCTCCCATTCTGTAGGTGTCTTTTCACTCTCTTCATACTATCCATTGATGCACAGAAGTTTTTAATTTTGACAAAGACTAATTTATCTTTTTGTTATTGTTGCCTGTGTTTTTGGTGTTACATACAATAAATCATTGCCAAATCCAACATCATGAATCTTCCCTATGTTTTCTTCTAAGAATGTTATAGTTTTAGGTCTCACATTTAGGTCTTTGACTCCTTGATCCATTTTGAATTGATTTTTGTATACAGTGAAAAGTAAGGGTCAAACTTCAGGTCATTTGCATGTGAATGTCCAGCTTTCCCAGCACGATTTGTTGAAAAGACAGTCTTTTCCTCATGGGAGTAGTCTTGGCATCCCTGTCAAAGATCAGTTGACCATATAGGCGAGAGTTTGTTTCTGGGCTCTCTCTTTTATTCCCTTGGTCTTTCTGTCTGTCCTTATGTCAATACCACCCTGTTTTGATTGTTATAGCTTTGTGGTAAGTTTTAAAGTCAGGCAGTGTGAGACCTCCAACTTTATTTTCTTTTCCAGGATTGTTTTGGATATTCAGGGTCCCTTGAGTTTTCATTTGAATCTTAGGATAAGTTTTTCTATTTATGAAAAAAAATGCTGTTGAGATTTTGATAGAGATTGCAGTGAATCTATAGGTCGCTTTGGATAATATTGTCAACTTAATATTGAGTCTTTCTATCTGTGAACATGAATGTCTTCTCAGATATTTGTCTTCTTTAATTTCTTTCAGCAATGTTTTATAGTTTTCAGTCTACGAGTCTTTTATCTTCTTGGTTAAATTTATTCCTAAATATTTTTGAATAGATAATTTTTATGAATGTACATGTTGTATATAGTATGAAAAAAAGCAAACTTATAGCTGGTAATTTTACAGAGTAAAATTTTCTCTCATGTATTTGTTTGTAATGATACCTCCTAAGACATTTTTATCCTGCTAATTTATTGATTCTGTATGTTAGTCTTTGGGTGGTTATGATATCTTTTTACTCATAGCAGATCCTTTGAACAATTTTTGAAGTGGATATGATACTACTTACTTATATTTTAGGTTGAATTTTGCATTTTTAGTTTATTCTTTAGTTAAATTTTCTTATTGTTACTGACACTAAATAAATTTAACATTAAGAATCCTATTATTTTTGAAAAATGACATTTAAACCAGTTACTTATTGTGACTTTGGGTTATAGAAAATGTTGGCAGCTCATACTTCAGAGTATTGAGAAGATTCCTTTCAGTGCTGCTCTAGGTTACTTTGTGCCTATTGATTGAATTGGCCAGAGTTTAAATAAAATCTAGGAAGAAGCATATGATCCAAGTTTATGAAATCACGAAGAAAATAAAGGTGACAAGATTAAAATAGTAGTGACATCCTTGGTCTTTAGATATAAACATGTAGAGAAAAGAGAATAAATTTCTACACTGTACAGGAAGTGGCAAGTCTTGGAACCCACTGAAAATATATTTTGAAATGAGTTTTTATAAATTGATTGTAGACCTACTGGCTTTTTAAAGAGAATTAAGGAAATTGGGAGAAGGGGTTATCTTAAACTTTAATATATGGAAGATGCCATGAGGAATACCCTGACATCTTATGAAATCACTCCTCTTGATGTCTTTGCAGAGATCAGAAGGCAGATGGTTAGCTCAGTATGCTAGTTCATGTGTCTCTACCCTTACATACCTCATGTTAGAAGTGATCTGAGGATGGCATTTTATCATCTCACCAACCAGTTAACTATCACCTTTCTAATTTCCAATGCAAATACTTTTCTACCAAATAATTGGGGGGTTGGGCCCAAATCATTAATATATTTGTCAAATTAGTTAAATTTTACTCTAATATTTTATATCCCACTTATAGGTCAAGGATAAATACAAGCATAATTTATTTCCCAGGTGCCATTGCTTTGAAATCATATGGAGAAGACCTTTAGAGGATAACATTTCTTTTCTCTCTGACCCCAACCTAATTTAATTTTTTTTAAAGATTTTATTTATTTATTTGACAGAGAGAGACAGCGAGAGAGGGAACACAAGCAGGGGGAGTGGGAGAGGGAGAAGCAGGCCTCCTGCTGAGCAGGGAGCCTGATGCAGGGCCCTATCCCAGGACCCTCAATTCCAGGACCCTGGGATCATGACCTGAGCCGAAGGCAGACGCTCAACAACTGAGCCACCCAGGCTCCCCTGACTCTAACCTAATTTATTAGTAATATTATTTCTAAAATTAGACACATGATTATTTTCTTCACATTAAAATAAAAGCTCCCATTCTAATGAAAGCTGAAAATAATTTAGCCTTATAAATTTTTCCAGATAATACTGTTTCTGTATTAGGTTTCTGTAGCCAGTTTATGGTGATTTGGTAGTGGTTAATTATCCTAAGATTATATACGTGAGCTGTGAAAATTATGGTCACCTCATTCTGTTTTTCATTAAAAGAAAAACCAAGCAAGAGAGTATGTATGTATTCATCAGTTCAGATCTCAACTCTGCTGAAAACTTACCCAAAGTATCCTGCCATTGAGAATGTTTTCTTTATATATGGAAGAAGTAGTTTAAGAACAGATTTCTTATATATTTTTGGAGAGTGACAGCAAGCTAATAAAAATACTATTTTAATGGTTTTTTTTTTTACTTTCTTGTTCAGTTTGTTGATTGATGGATAAACAAAGGTAGGAGAATTCTACCATTAAGGATTGGGAAAACTGGGACAGAGACAATTATGCAAATTAATCGTATATTCTGGAAACCCCTTTTCCAATTTTGCCTTTCTGCTCATTAGTCTTCACAGAAATATCTAGAAGAAAAGTGGTTTCTGAAAGCATAGACTTCAGAAAAGGTTAAAGAAATATAAAAATGTAGGTGAGGTTTGTTTCCATCTCTCTCCATATAGCTTCTTTCCATGAACTGGATCAAAGCATTAATTAGGGACTGTATTGTCATTTGCAGTTTTGTAAACTATTAATCAGTTGGTTTTCATGATAGTATAAGACTTTTTGTTCACATTTTCTTATTTATTAGTAGAGCTCTTTGATCTCAATGGGACAGAGGAACGAATTTAATAGAATTAAAGATGGGTTTGGATTTTATAATAATATAGTCCATATTAATGAAAAATTTCTGGAAGTTTGAGCTGACATAGAGAATTTAGTGGGAATAAGTAACCCAACATCTGTTTTCCTAGAAGATGTGGAGATTTCCCTGTTATTTGTACATGTATAAAGCTACACTTAATCTGTGGGTTTTGCTTTATTTTTAGACTTGACTATTTTTAGAACTGGATTTCATATGAAGAAAAAGAAAAACAGAGCCTTAACACAAATTTGTGGTAGTACATAAAGTAAGTTTAATAGGTTGTAAAAATCTTAAATCACTTGGCTCAAGTGTTAGGTCAGATTCTTTTAACTGGTTATTCTTTTTTTAGTGTTGAAGCCAGTGATTTCATAGTATTGAAGAAATCCAAGTTATTATTCTTTTCCTTCACAACCAGATAAGGGCATGTTTCCAGATTTCTTTCCGCACGATCATAAACAGCACCAGATCTGAGATATCTTTCTTTTGTTAAAGTACTAGTTGGATAAAAGCCA